ATTTTTTAAGAAAGCTAAGATGGATGGTGAAGAAAGGGATAAAACAAGGGATCTTCTAAGGATGCAGTTCCTTTAAAAATGATATTAAAGGAAGAGAAACAAGTTTAAAAAAACACCTGCATGGTAAGGAACCCAGGCTGCTGAGTTATATCTCCCGACAGGGCACAAAGTGGCTTTTTTATGAGCTTGGCTATTTAGGTCACTAGGACCTTGGTCAATGTTATTCCAGAAATCAAATACTCTCCGCTTTTGTGAGAGGGGATTTGTTGGCTACAAAATGCCCCATTCTTCCAGAGACAGGTTTACACACTTTGTGTTTCTTCTCTGTAAGCTTTTAGCTAGTTTTTTCTCTCCTGGTTTATAATATTTACAAATGAAGCAGAGGTGCCCAGTGTGTGGGCTGTGGTCCCCTGGGGAGCTAAGGCATTCTCGAAAAAGGTCTACAACTCCACATTTAATGGCTTAACAGAATAAAGAAAGAAACATCTTCTCTAGACTGAATAAATAATATGTCTCATGTACATGTGTTACTATTTTTCAGTGACAGTATAAACTCATCTTTATATATAGTACTCTAAGGGTTTCCAAGTGAGGTAGGCATGTTTAAAGGTAACAATAACTGGCATTTCCATAGTGTCACAGTGGTTTGTCCTTCGTTCTCGAAGAGGACCATGACATCAGGGAGATGAAGACATGACTTGCAGTTGACTTTGATTTGAGTGAGGGAGGGCTGTGCAGAGTCACCAGCCTCACTTTCTCCTCCAGTGCCATCTGGGTCCAATGACCAAATACCGATCAGGATTACTGGAGATGGCGAGGGATGTAGCAGGAGATCTTGGCCCTTTTAAGCTAACGTCTTTTCAGGTTCTCACTTTGAGAGAGGCAATGCGCATTCAGTGAATAGGCCTCTTTAAGCAGTGAGTCAAGGGATGCCCCCTTTAATTAAAAAAAAAATCGAGATGGGAGGGGATGATCCATAGAGGTCAATGGCTGTGATTCCCAAAATAAAGGTAAAAGTAAATTTCCATTGAGTGATAAATGTTTCTGAATTTGGCATTATGGCTAGAGTGCTGCATTTGGAATCAGGAAGACTCGGATTTGAGTCTTGCTTCAGACATTTACTAGCTCTTCAAGACCCTGGGCAAGTCATACCCTCTCTGAGCCTCTCATTCCTCATCTGTAAAATGGGCATAGTCCTGGCTTTAATACCTACCTGATAGCGTTTGCTTGATGCTTAAATGAAATATTTGTAAAATTTTGCAAACTGTAAAGAGCTGTGTAAATGTCAGCTATTATGGCTAGTAGAAGTGGCAGTAGTTATGACTTTTTTGTCCCATATTTTCTCAGTTGATAAATGCAGTGGATAGAACACTGAGCTTGGAATCAGGAAGACTCAGTTTTGTGAGCTCAAATCCAGCCTCAGACACTAGCTGTGTGACCCCAGAAAAGTCATTTAACTCTGTTTGCCTCAGTTTCCTCATCTGTAAGATGAGCTTGAGAAAGAAATGGCAAACCACTCCAGCATCTTTGCCAAGAAAACCCCAAGAGCTAGACACAACTGAAGCAAATGAACAACAACAAGGATCTCACAAAGTGAGATAAATAAGTAAAGAGTGGATCTCTTGAAAAGGGTCAAATAGATTGGGAAGCAGTCAACAGACCACAATAACTCACAATAAGAATCTTAGACAGGATATCATCTTTCACGTGGGCCATTTCCCCCCCTTAATTTTGAAGGAGGCAGGTCTGAGGGGGAAACCTTACAACCTTACAAGAAAAAGTGGTTACATAGTCATGTCCCTTCCATTTGGGGATAGAAATAGACCCCAAAGGAAGGCATCTGGGTGGTGCAGTGGATAGAGTGATGGACTTGGAAACAGGAATGGAAACAGTGAGTTCAAATCCTGCCTCAGACATTTACTGGCTGTGTGACCCTGAGCAAGTCATTTAACCTCTGTCTCAGTTTCCTCATCTGTAAAACGGGGATAAAATAGCACCTACCTCTTAGGGTTGTTGCACGGAAGATTAGATGAAATAATATGTATAAAGCACTTCATGAACTTTAGTGCAAAGTGCTGTATTATGAGAGAAAACATTAGTATTCCATTGAGAGTAGCTTTGAAAGTGAAAAATGCCTAACCAGACGAATAAGAACCATGAAAGAGTAAGAGAAAAAGTGAAAGTGGAATGGACAAAGAATCCTAACAGATTTTGAAGGAGAAACCGAAAAGGAGTTATGATATTTTATTTATTTAAATGTAAGTCATTACAAAGCATATATAATTAATTATCTTGACAGTTAATAAGTTTATAATTAGCAATTTAAAAATTAATTAGAATTGCTATAGAAGTTAACTTACTTCCATAACTTCTCATTTCAGGTAGTTTATGAAGTTATCTAACTGTAATAATAACAATAATAACTAGCATTTATATAGGATTTTACAGTTTGCAAGGTACTTTACAAATATTATCTCATTTGATCCTCATAACAACCTTAGGAGGGAGGTACGATTATTATCCCCATTTTACAGATGAGGAAACTGAGGCAAGCCGAGCTTAAGTTACTTTTCCAGGGTCATGGAGCTAGTGAATGAGGCAGGATTTGAACTCAAATCTTCATGACTCTAGGCCTAGCACTGTATCCACTTCACCAAATTTCATACTCTGTCCTCCATGTCACACTGCCTCCCAACACTGCAGTTTTACAAATGAGATAGATACATGGATCACAATCTGATGTATGTCTCAGAGGTCTTGGAGGAATAGAAGAATACTTTCATTTTTTCAGTGAAAACCACTGTACAACCAGCTGAGGTGGCTGAAGGATGGCCCTGTTGTTGATTTTAGGAAGTTTCTCAAGTGGAATTGGGCTGAGGCACTGCGCTCTTAACAGAAACTCTATGGAAACCACATTCAATTCAATTCAATTCGAAAAATATTATTAAGCATCTAGAGTGTGCCTGACATTATAATGGGTCCTGGAGAGGTACAAAGACCCAAACTGAAATAGAAAAGCATCATGGGGCAGCATGAAAAGTTCGGAATTGGAGTCGAAGGTTGTTGTTCAGTCGTTTCAGTTGCGATCTCATTTGGAGTTTTCTTGGCAAAGATACTGGAGTGGCTTGCCGTTTCCTTCTCCAGCTCATTTTATAGATGAGGAAACTGAGGCAAAAAGGGTTAAGAGACTTGCCCAGGGTCCACACCTAGTAAGTTTCTGAGGCCAGATTTAAACCCAGGAAGATGAGCCTTCCTCACTCCAGGTCCAGCACCATGTATGCACCATGACGCCACCCAGCTGCCCTGGACTTAGAGGACCTGTTCAAATCCTGGCATGTATGTGATCCTGGGCACCTCTCTCCACCTCTTTCCTCATCTGGAAAATGAAGGGATTAGATGAGCAGATGTCCAAGGTCTCTTTATGTAGCTTTACATCTGTGATCCTATGAAATAATCCCTGCCCTCGAAGAGCTTACATTCTACCGGGGGATATAGCATGAACACTTGTAAGACTCAGAAGTCAATGCCGGCCGTGAAAACTAGTTGGTGATGCTGCCAAGGTCACTTTCACTTGTTTCCCCGTTTGCTGTCTGCCTGCTCCACGCAAAGGACCATGACAGGAAACTGCAAGGGAAAGTTTGATCTGCAGGGGAATGTCTTCTTAGCAGCTAGTTTGGATCTAAGACCAATGCTGCTCACCCCACAGTAAACTAGTGTAGGAGACAGCTTGGAGCTTGCTGCTCGAAAACTTTGTCATATGCAGAGGTGAGGAATTATGGGTAGGGGACACTGCATATAAAGTCAGACTTGGAGGGTGTCTTGGTTAATTTTGCTAAGCTGTTTCCCCCCTTCTTTTTTGCTCTCTGGGAGACAGATTGGAGGAGGGATGGAAAATGTGGGTGATGTAAAAAGAAAAGATCAATCAAAATGTATTTTTTTAAAAGGAATTTGGGACAGTGGAAAGAATATTGGCTTGAGTCAAGGGATCCGGGCTTAATACTTCCTTTGTGACCTTGAGCAATTCACCTCACTTCCCCGGGCCTCACTTTCCTCAACTGTAAAATTGGAGTTAGACTAAATGGTCTCTTAAGGTCCTCCATCTTCAGATATGTCATCCTGTGACCTTAAATAAAACCAAATATCAACAGGAAACAACACTGCCCTTGCCAAACAGGAAATTATCTAGAACTAAGGTCTCAAGATTTATTTAAAAAAAAAAAATGACACCTGACATGTCTCTTTTAATTTTTTAACTTATTTAACATTCATTTAAAAATTTTTCAAATTCTCTCTCTCCCTCCTGTCCTACCCATTGAGAAGGCAAGCAATATGATATCAGTTATACATGTGAAGTCATGCAAAACGTTTCCATGTTAGTAGTGTGTCTAATAATAGGCAAGAGACGTAAAGAAAGAGAGAAGATTGTACTTCAGTCTGCACTCAGAGTTCCTCAGTTCTCTCTAGAGGTGGATAGCATTTTTCATCACGGGTCCTTTGGAACTGCCATGGGACATCGTCTTGATCGAAAAGCTAAGTCTTTCCCATGGCAATGCTGCTGTTACTGTGTACGATCTGACAGGTCTCTTTAAGGAAGATTTTTTTTTTATCCTAGACATGCTGCTTAGCAAAACACACCGGATGCATCCATTAAAGCATCTCCTGTTCTGCCTGACTGACCACTCAATGAGTAGGGGCTTGGTTGGCATCAATAAGGCCCTTGCTGCAGTGCACCCAGAGGCTAAAGCTCTGGAAAAATCTTTGCATATGGTGCGCTCTGCAAAATGCAGCCATTCTGGAGGAAGGCCAGCTTTGTGCTAACCCTCATTAACATGTTTATTGTCCTGCCCCCTTGTCTCTTTGTAGTATCATGCTAATTTTTTTTTCTTTCTCTCACTCCCCATCTCTGTCTTCTGTTTCTGTCTCTCTGTTTCTGTCCCTGTCTTTCTGGTTCTGGCTCTGTCCTTCCCCTTGCTGTCTTCACGTGCACCTTCACCCTCTAGGTACTGGCGTCGGACCCTGGGCTTGCAGGTTCGCTACGTCACCCATAATGACTACCAGTTCTGCTATTCCTGCCGGGGCAGGCCTGGAACCAAACCTTCCCTTCTGATGCTGCACGGCTTCTCTGCCCATAAAGACATGTGGCTTAATGTAGTCAAGGTAGGCAGCCAGCTTTTCCCTTTACGATGAAATGCTAAGATCTGGTGGCCCAGAGCCTCAGACACTTACCTGCTGTGTGACCCCAGGTAAGTCACTCAACCTTGCTCAGCCTCAGTTTCCTCATCTGGGGATAATAAATGGAGATAATAATAGTACCCACCTCACAGAGCTGTGGCCGGGATCAAATGAGATAACATATGGAAAGCACCTTGGGACACCCTGTATTAATGTTAGCTATTATTAAGACTGTCAAGGAAAAGAGTTAGCTTGTGTTCTTGCAGGTCCATAAAACTGAATCCAGAGGACAGATCTGGCCTTTTTACTCCAAGTGGGTTGGACTGGATGATTTCAAAGGTAGCCTGGTACAGTGGAAAGAGACTTGGATTTGGAGTCCAAGGACCTGGGTTCAAATCCTGACTTTGCCTCTTATCATCTGTCTCGTTACCTTGGTCACATTGCTTCCCCTCTCTGAGGAAAGGAGGAATACACATATTTTTGGTGCCATAGAATTTCACTGTCATGTAGGTATTTATGTTGAGTGACAAGCCTCTAGTGCTTAGTAATGCCTGGGGAGGGGGGCAAGGAGAGGGGAGGCATGACTCTCACTCCTCCCCTAGAATAAATAGAGGCTTTGTCCTCTTCTGGCCATAACAACCATCGATGCCAAGGTTGGGATTTAGGGGTTTTCAATCATATTTGTTTATCCTTTTAAGTTAGGGTTTCTGCCCCACCCATTTAAAAAATTATTCTTCATAGTCATTTGTTAGGGCAGCTTTATGAAACCCCACCCAGGCACCTATTCTGAGCCTCTGGCTGGCCCCTTTGGTTAGTCGGATAAACCATGAACCTAAGAGGCCAAAGTCAAGGGGGAAGAGGGGAAGGCAAGCAGGACGATGGGAGCTTATCCAGTCTGGCTTCCAGCCAGGAGCCAAATCATCCCAATTAAGAATCTACCTTTAATTGCATTAACGGGTGGATTCTGTGATGGGTTAGTCAGTGTTACTGGACTTTTTTTTTTTTAACTTTTCAATCCTTTTTTTTTTTTTTTACCTGCTGAGGGGAGGGGGAGGGACATATTTAGAAATTAAGGTGATATAAAAATATATGAATAAAATTAAATAACTAAAATTAAAATTTTTAAAGAAAGTGAATCTATCTTCAGAGAAGAGAATTTCCCAACAACCTATCAGACACCAAACATGTATTAAGCGCCTGGTGTGCATAGAGCACTGTGCTAGCCAAAGCTTAGTTAAGATGGATCCTACCCCTATGAAACTTACAGTCTAGTAACAAGCAATACAGAGACCATGAATATAGAGCATTACAGGCCAATGATAATAACAACAATAATGATAGCTAGCATTGATACAGCACTTTATAGTTTGCTTACCTAAAGGATCTCATTTGGGCCTCCCAACAGCCCCTGCAGATATGATTATGCCAGACTTAGGAGAGGTAAAGTAGAGGCTCCGAAAAGCTAGTGATGTGACCATAGTCACACAGGTGATAAGTATTAGGGGCAGAGTTTAAATGCAGGGCTCCCTGCCTTAAGGGTCATCCTTTGAAAACCTGGTTGCCAAGATTCCCCGTGTGGCTGCCATGAGTGGAGGAGTGAGAACTGAAGATGGCGACACCAACCAGCTGGGCTAGGAAAGACTAGAAATACGCCACCTGGGTGTGTTCCTTGGGCCTGGCTGCTGACTCACCTTCTCACTCCTAATCACACTATTTATGTCGCTTTTGTCCTTTTGTGACATCTCCTCTTTTGAGGTGGCCCTGGATAATTTTAATTAGATTTACCTGTGTGCAGATGTTGGGAGGTGGAATCTCATAATGGTAGCTAATACCTAACATTTATATAGCACCTACTGTGTGCTGAGTTCTTTACAGCTGTTGTCTCATTTGACCCTCACAACAACCCTGGGAGGGTGATGCCGCTATTATCCCCAGTTTATAGATGAAGAAACTGAGGTTAAGTGACTTGCCTGGAGTCACACAGCTAATGAGTATCTAAGGCCAGATTTGAATTCAGGTCTTCCTGATTCGAGGCCCGGTGCTCTATCAGCTGCCTTTGCCTTGAAATGGGCTTGGTGGCCTCTGAAGGAAGTGGTCTTCTCCATGCGGGCAAAGCAACTTATGACTCTTTCCGGCTCCAGACCTCTGCTCCTATGTGTGACCTTGAATAAGGTCACCCACCCGTTTACCTCTCTGGTCCTCACTTTCCTCATCTGTGAAATGGGGAGGCCAGACCAGACGGTCTCTGAGCTGTCTTCCAGCTCCAGATCTACTCTTGGGATTCTGTGCCTCTTTTCCAGATGAGCTCTCTCCTCTCGACTGGCCCGGTTGCCATACACCACTGTCTTTACTGATGAGTCATTCCATTTGTGTGTGTGTGTGTGTGTGTGTCCTTAGTTCCTCCCAAAGAACCTTCATTTGGTCTGTGTCGACATGCCCGGCCACGAGGGTACCACTCGATCCTCCTTAGACGACTTGTCCATCGATGGACAAGTGAAAAGGATACACCAGGTAGGTGGTGGAACCCTGTCGTTGAAAGGACTCGCACTTCCTTACCCTTCAACTCTTAAAAATGGTGAGCGGGCAGGTGGTTTACGTTGGCCTATGGACCAACAGCTAATGAATGCGTTTTCTCTGTAAGTTGTGTTTGAAAATTCAGGCAGTCAAAGATGGCTTTTGATTAGACAGAGGTTAGACTCTTTGACATTTGCTTCATTCTTAATTTATTTAAGGTGCATCTGAAGAATTTGATTTGGAAAGCTTCCCTTACCTCATTGAAAGGGAACTTCTGAACCACCATCCATCAATCAGTAAACCAGTATGCATTTATTAAGCACCTACCTGTTGCCTGGTGCAGTTTCTTATCTATTTGAAAATGTGATACCCAAGATTCAGTGTGGTAAAGTGGAAAGTCACTGGGTTTGGAGTTGGAGGGATAGGGATAGGGATTGAATCTGTGATTTCACTGGCATAGGGAACTCTCTACCAGTGCAAGTGGGCACCTTCTCTGTGACTTACTGTCTTAAGAGAGTTGCCTAAGGCACTTAGAGCTCAAGTCAGCAGATCAATCTGCAGACATTTCTTAATCTTACTATTTGCCAGGCACTATTCTAAGAGGGAGGGCTACAAAGGAAGGCAAAAATGCAGTCCCTGCCCTCAAGGAGCTCCCATTTTAATGGGGAAGACAACAGGCAAACAGCTTTGTTCAGTCAAGCCAAGTCAAGGAGGAATGGTCATGTAGTGTAGCCTTGGGAATCTCCACTCAGTTTTCCACCCTGATGCCAGAGGGGAAGGAAGACAAGAGTGTCAAAGGTTTGCTACGAGGGCAGGACCCTGCTGAGGGGTGGGAAGCTTTTCTCTCCCCAGGGGCTATTTTTAGTTGCCTCCACAGGGTATGGTTCCAGTTCTCTCACCAGCCTCTTCTTTTGCTTCTTTTTGCAGTTTGTGGAAAGCATCAAGCTAAACAAGAAGCCTTTCCACCTGGTGGGTACTTCTATGGGGGGCCATGTTGCAGGGGTGTATGCTGCCTATTATCCATCAGATGTCTGCAGTCTGACGCTGGTGTGTCCTGCGGGTGAGTCCCAGGGGTAAATCACCCTAGTCAGTGTGTCTGAAATCTGGGCTGGAGGCCATTCCTTAGTGAGACTTAACCAAGCAGCCAAAAAGCATTTATTAAGCATCCAGTTAGATAGATAGAGCATGTATTGGATGCCTACTATGTGCCTACTTTTAGAGCACCTTCCATATGAAATCTCATTTCTATGTTGTGCTCGATCGGAATTTTTTTTCTGATCCAGAAATAACTATGACCCAATCACCCCCTCCCCACCCCCCCCCAAAAAACCCCTTTCATTGAAACCTAGTGATTGCTTCAGACCTTCCTTCAACTTCCAAACTTGGGAGAACAAAATTGAACTTCATTGAAGGTCTTTCTACGAAGGCCTTTAGATGCCTTTAGAACTAGAACTTAGAACTTTAAAATAAAGTTTATTGATGTTTTGTTTTTACACTATACAGTGGGGAACTCTACTCCATGAGAAGTCAATTAAGCAAAACTAATAATACAGTGACTTCATATGAATAAGCGTGAAACATTCCACATCTGTAGCAGCTGTTTTCTTTCCCTCCCATCCCTGCCCCATTGACAAAGAGAAAAACAAATTCCTCGTAAGAACATAGTAACACAAAACAAATTCCCCCAATGGCTGTTATCCATCTGTCTGCCTGTCTATCTATCAATCTATCTATGTACACACATTTACATATATATATATATACATTTATGTGTGTGTTTGTATATCTATATCTTTCTGTCCATCTCATTCTGCATTCTAAATCTCACCTGTCTATAATCCATCCCGTGTGTCATCATAAGGCCTTTGGAATCATGGGTGGTCATTGTATTGATACTAGTTCTTACAGCTTGCAAAGGTGTTTGTTTTTTACAGAGTTATTATTGTATACCTTGTTCTCCTGATTCTGCTCATTTCACCCTTTATCAGTTTAAAAGAGTCCTCAGAATTATAATGATGCGATAGCATATTATTCTCTGAGTTCTGCTCACTTTACTCTGCATCAGTTCACATAAGCTTTTCTTTGTCTTTTTAAAATCATCTATTTCCTCATTTGTTACACTATCCCATTCTTATAACACAATTTGTTCAACCATTCCCCGATTAATGGACATCCCTTTAGTTTTCTGGTTTTTTTTGACACCACAAAAAGACTTGCTATAAATATGTTTAAACATTTAAGACCTTTTCTTCTTTGATCCCTTTAGGGTATAGGCTCAGTAGTGGTATAGATGAGTCAAAGGACATACAGTGGTTAGTAACTTTTTGTGTAAATGAAAACATCATTTACACAAAAATTTACACATCATTTTTGTGTAAATGAAGACATCATTTGAACAAAGACTTATGCTGTTCATCCTGATTCCCATCCAGCCTAGAGATATGTTGTTTTCAAGTGCTCCCATTCCTTGGGGAGCCCAGGGGCATAGCCTGCAATTGCCTTTTGGGGAAGAGGAAACGTTCTTACTGAAATTTAAATTCCAGATCTTTAAAGTCTTCTCCTCCTTTCATATGTCCACCATCTTGATCACAGATTCGAGCTGCTCTACCAACTGGTCTGTGTGTATTGCTGGTGGGACAGGTTCTGCTCAGGATTTGCCAGTACTTTAGAAATAGTGACTTTCCCCAAGAACTGGAAGACACCCATCTGGGCAGATACTCTGACTAAGGCAGATGCTAGGGCCTGCCGGTAGAGCTCTATCACATTTACTGAAATGTCAAATCAGATTCTTAAGCAATGAAGTACACAGGTTAGCTCCCCCAAAAATAATAAGCCGCTGTTAGGGAGGAGATTCATAAGTGGAGAGTGGAGAAGGGATGAAAAATTTTGGAGCTTGAACCTAAGGGTCAAGTGATTTGGTCTGTCTTCCTGTGAGGAATGCTAACAGTTTGGTTCCCACAGAATTGATAAGAAAAGAGGACAGGGGGAGATTAGGTTATTGATTAATTGATTTCTTGGTTTATTGGTTTACACAAATATGTAAACAAGATAAGGGAGTGAATGGGATAATATAGGGTGAAGCCCCCTCAGGGGAATGAACTAATCTCGACCTCATTTACTTTTTGCAGCACATTCTGGCTAAACCAGATGTTCCATGTGGCTAGACCAGATGTTCTGGTTGTGCAAAGAGACCACTCCCCTCTAACTTGTTTCGAACTTCCTTCAGTAGAAGTTAGAATTCCCCGAATAGATTGTGCCCCTAATATACCCAGCCAATGGGTTGAGGGGAAGGGGGTTAGGGCAGAGACATTGCGGATAGGGTCTATATGTTCTGCTTTACAAGACACTCAGATGCACACCCTGGCTGGAGCCATCTTAAGCGAATGCTGGGTGTGTCCTTTCTCATGAGAAAGCAATAAAACTCCTTTTTGCCTTTCTTAAGAAAAAGTCTCTGATTTGATCATTTTGGGGGTCACAAACACCCCACACATTCCTCTTCACTTTTCAAACTTGTGGAGAGGCCAAAGGACAACGGAATGTCCTTATTGGATTGCTTTAAATGATTTAGGTGGCATCAGACTTTAAATTTGGTTTCCCTGTGATCTGTGGGAGAGTTTACGCCTCTGGTACAACTGAGCGTGGAGATTTTATTTCACTAATTGCTCAGTTGACTGGGATTGGCTTTGTCCATTTCAAAAAAGGAAAAAAATTCCTCAAAAATAGAGTGTGCTTATAATAAGTACATCTGACTCTTAGGCTCAGGAATTAAAGCAGCAATGGCTTAATTACTTTAGTAAAGAGGCTAGACTGGGGCTAGGGAGGCTGACTCCAGAAGAGACTAATCCCGGAACCACACGTTAAGATTTGAACTATAAACCCTTACTTCCCACCCAGAGCTGGGATTTGAAGAGAACACCGTGACCAAATAACCACCTTACCTCTGCTTTTGAATATTAATAGCCTTGGGAAGATTTTCACTCATCCCAGCAACTCCTAATGTACATTTCAAATGAATTACACAATTGTAATCTTGAAGCTATCTGAGCATTCAGAAAGTAGTTGAGAAATCTGGCTTTTTTCCAGGAAAACAGATTGTACATTTTGTTCTTTTGTGATTTGTTATTTCTTCTGCTTAATGATTAGATTACATTTTCTGTGGATAAAGGAATTGTTTACATAGACCTTGAATTATCAAATAAATTTCCTTCTCAGTGGAAAAAAAAAAGAAAGAAAGAAAGAAAGAAAAATTCCAGATCGTTTCCAGAATTGTTGGACCCTTCACAGGTCCACCAACAATACAGCCGTTTGCCTGTTTTCCCAAAGTCCCTTAAACTTTGATCATTTTTCTTTCTTTCTTTTTTTTGTTATCTTTGCCAATCTGAGAGTATAAGGTAGAACCTCAAGTTGTCTTAATTTACGTTTCTCTTGTCAGTAATGGTTTGGTGTATTTTTATATGGATATAGTTTTGGTTCCTCCTCTTCAGAACTGGTTAGTCATGTCTTTATGAATATGTATATATGAATTATATCTTTGTATCTTTATGAATATCAATGGCTCTTATAAATTTAAATCAGTTCCTTAAATATCTTGGAAAGATGCCTTTATCAGAGAAACTTGCTACAAAGAATCTTTTCCCAGTTATTTAATCTTAGCTTTATTAGATCTGTTTGTACAAAAACTTTGAAATGATGTGAAGTCAAAATTACCTGTTTTATCTTCAGTGGTCTTCTCCATCCTTTCTGTGATCATGAACTTTTCTCCTATCCATAGATCTGATAGGTAATTTTTTTTCTTGTTTCTCTAATTTGTTAATGATGTGACCTTTTATATTTAGATCATATATCCATTTGGGCTCTACCTTGGGCTTTAACTTCTTTTTTGTTTATTTTGTGGTCAGATTTATCTAGAACTGGTAGAGGCAAATTGAGCCCCACCCCCGTCATAATTTTACTATTTACTGTTTTTAAATGTCTTTTACAATTACTTGTTAAAATAATTTTAACATTCATTTTTTAAAAGTTGAGTTCCAAATCCGTTCCCTTCCTTTCTTTCCTCTCCTCCCTCCTTACTGAGAAGGTAAGCGATTTGATATAGGTTATGCATGTGCAGACATGCAAAACATATTACTGTTAACTGTTCCTTATGATTAATTTAATTTTTATTTGAGTGTTTTAAAACTATGCTACTCAGTGTACATATGTTAATTGAAATCAATTCATAGTCTATGGCTCTAAGTAAAATCTCCTTTAAATAAGTCTGTTATTGCTGTTGCCTTGACTGAAATAATAATTACCACCCCTGATTTTTTTTGTATTCAGCTGAGGTATAGTAGATTTTGCCCAAGTCTCTTGTTTTAACTCTGTGAGTTTTTAGGTTTCATATGTGTTTCTTGCAAGCAACATATTACTGGATTTCACTTGCTGATCCATTCTGCTCACCTCGTCCACGCTCAGGCCCGAGTTTGTCCCATTCACGTTCACAGTTATGACAGTTAATTGTTTATTTCCCTCCATCCTATTCTCCAAATGTTTTTTTCTTCCCTATTCTCCTCACTTCTGGTTTATTTCAAGTTGTTAACCTTTTTTTTAAAAAAAATTTAACCTTTTCTTAATTATCTCTTCTCCAAGGTTGGGTTTGCTTTACTTCTAATTTATCCGTCTCTGAATCTACTCTGCTTCTTGTATTTCGTTTTCTCCATTTCTTGTTCCTGTCTGAATTCTTGTTGAGTTTAATATATTGCAAAAGCAAACTCGTGTGTGTGTGTGTGTGTGTGTGTGTGTGTGTGTGTGTGTGTTCTGCCCTCTTTTGACCAGTTTAGCTGAAGGTGAGTTTCAAGTGTTGGCCTACTCTCCCCCATTCCTTCCATGTTGGTATATGGTTCTACTTATGCAACACTATCGCGTGTGCTAATAAATTCCTCGATCTTTCCTCTCATTTGTCCTAGTATAGCCTTCCTTGCCCCTCCCTTTTCTTTTTATTACAGTATCTTCAAAATACAATAACGCTAATTATCGGTCTTCTGACTCATTTGACAATCTTTATAACCCTTTGTGATATTAGGATTCTAAAATTCTATTAACACTGCCTCCATTAGAACACAAACTGTTCATTTTATAAAAGAAAATTTTTTTTTAACATAAATGATATTTTATTTTTTTCTAATTGCACATAAAGACAATTTTCAACATTCAATTTTTATATGATTTTGAGTTCCAAATTTCTGTCTCTGTCTCTGTCTCCGTCTCTCTCTCCTCCCCACCCCCAAGAGGGCAAGCAAGGTGATATAGATTATATATGTGCAATCATGTAAAACTTCCCATGTAATCATGTAAAAATTTCTACATTAATCATGTTGTGAAAGAAGAAATGTAACAAAAGGAAAAAAAAAGCAAAACCAAAAAAAACCACAAAGAAACAAACTGGTCATTCTTATAAAGCCTTTTCTGATATTCACTTATGTTTACCTTTTTAATTTTTCTCTTCATTCTCATATTTATATTTCAGAGTTTCTTTTCAGCCAGCTTTTTCATAAGGAATATTTATAAGTCCTCTATTTCATTGAAGATCCATTTTTTTCTTCATAGGATTATATTGATTTTTGCTGAGTAAGTTAGTTTTGGTTGTAAACCTTTATCTTTTGCTTATTGGAATATAGTATCTCATTCTGTGTTCTCTGTTCCTTTATATTGATAGCTGTTAAATCTTGTGTAATTCTTATTGTGGTTCCTTGCTATTTGAATTCTTTTGTTCTGGCTGCTTGAAGTATTTTTTTCCTTTTCTCTTGAAGCTCTGGATTTTGGTAAGGAGACGTTCCTGGAAGTTTGTATTTTGGGTTTTTTTTTTCCAGAAGTGGATTCTTTCTCTTTTCACAATGAAACATGTTTAACATGATTGCACATGTATAACCTGTACCAGATTGTTTGCCATCTTGGGGAGGAAGAAGGGGAAAGAGAGAGGGAGAAAAATTTGGAACTCAAAATCTTATAGAAAATGAATGTTGAAAACTATCTTTACGTGTAATTGGAAAAAAATAAAATTCCCTTTTTTAAAATGAGGGGTCTTGGTGATTTCCAGGTTCGCTCCCAGCTCCATATCTATGGTTCTAAGTTCCACAAGGGCAGAGATCCTTTCTTAGCTAAACTGTTAAACCCTCCACAGCACTTTGTTGCTTTATTCTCAGCATGTATTTAAAAAACATTTGTGGCTGAATTGAATTGTTGGTGAAGAGCAGATAAGAAGAAAGAAGATTTGGAAGGGGTCACCATTAAGTATTAGTTGGATTGTCTACCCAATTAGAACAGAAGTACCGTGAAGTCAGGGACTTCCTTTTTTTGGGGTCTTGTGTGGGGGTGGGAATATGTATCCACAGCATTGATACTGTATACTTAGATGTTTTTCATTCATTCATTAAGCATAGAGTAGTGGACAGTAGGCTGATCTTAAGAGTTAGAAAGACCTATGTTCAAGTCCTGTATTGGACATAAATTATCTGGGTGACCCAGGGCAAATTAATGCCCTTCCCAGTGCCCCCAGGCAACTTTCTAAAACTGTGAACTGGTGCTGCAATGGTAAGAGAGTTTCCTCACTGGGCATTCCTGATTTGAACCCAGATCTTCCTGACTCCAAGTCCAGTCTTTTCTTCACTGGCGCTTACTGATTCTTTAAATAAGGCAGAGGTAATATGGGCCTAACCAAGCAGAACTGCCTTCTAAAGGAGATCCTTCCTAATGCTGCCTGCCCCTTCCAGGGTCTGCCTCTGAGATGACTCTCAATATTTGTTTGCATGTCAGAAAAAAGTCTTGAGTAACTTCCTTCATCGCAGAGGAGGGGGACGGAGGGTACAGAATACAGCATTGACTCTCAGACCTTCTGTTGGTTACTCTTACTGATCTGCTTTGTCTCTCTGTCTTTTTTAGTCTCTGTAACAAGGGATGATGACTTGTTGGGTAACTTATAGGGAGGGAAATATTTGGGGAAAGGGTGATATAAAAAGAGAAGACATGAATAAAAATAAGATAAAATTGAGAAAAACCAAGAAATGTGTACTGGGTTACAGGAATTGAGCGGATTACAGCGTCCTGGTGTGGGCTGACAGCTTGCGTGGAGGTGATGGGGAGCTGGGCACAGCAGGTGCTGGGCCCCAGAAAGGGCACGGCACAGGCTGAACGAGGCTTGCTGAAATCTCTTGGCTTGGCTTTCCTAGGCTTGCACATTACCACTGAGAACGCCTTTGTGCAGCACCTCAAGATGCTGCACGAAATGTCTGCTGTGGATAAGATCCCCTTAATCCCGTCAACCCCAGAAGAAATGGCCAACATGCTGAAGCTGTGCTCCTATGTCCGGTTCAAAGTGCCGCATCAGGTGAAAGCTTGGGGAGAGGGCTGCTTCCGTTGCCAGACAAAGCACAGCAGAATCCTAGAATCTCGGTATCAATTAGGGAAGCTGGTTCTACAGCTAGAGTTCAGACCCCACCTCTGAGAGGTCACCTTTGTGACTTTAGGCAAGTCTCCTGACTGGTCAGTGACTCAGTTTCTTCCTTTATAAAATGAAGGGAGTTGAACCAGAGGCCTCTGAGATGCCTCCCATCTTGAGGTCTATGGTCTTATAATTGGAAAGGACCTCAGAAGTCCAGATGTTACTTGATCAATCTTTTTTTTTTTTTTTTTGCCTAGAAGACTCTCAGTGAGGAAACCCCGTTCCCACCTCCCTAGGTTGGAGGCCAGACACCACATACACCCAGGGTCCCTTTCGACCTTGGCTTCTTTGGCATGTCCATGCTTTTTCCAGGCCTACTGCAGCCAACCTGAGCAAACCAACCAGCATCTTAGAGACCCGTGGAGGAGGTGGTATATATCATTTCTAGAAAAAAAATTATTGAGTGAAAACATTTTTAAAAATTTAAATGTGGGCATTTGTTTTGCTGGACTAGGAAGATGTGTTTTGAGGGATTTGTTTTGTTTGCTCAATGAGGGTGGAAGCTAGTGGGAAGACCAGATTAATTTTTTAAATGCTGATTCCTTAGGGAAAAAAATATAAAAATGTGTTAAAAAATTTAATTTCATTAAAATTTTCATTGGTACCAAGCTAAGCAAGAAGGATCACTAAGAATCTGTTCTTAGCCTGGTGTCAGTTGACATTTTTATCAATATTTTCTCAATGATTTTCGTAGAAGAAAAGGGTTGTTTAGTAGTTTTCAGCTGTGGCCAACTCTTCATGACTCCAGTTGGGGTTTTCTTGGCAAAGATACTGGACTTGTTTGCCTGGTTTGCCTGCTCATTTTACAGATAAGTAACTGACGCAAACAGGGTAAAGTAACTTGCCCAGGGTTACACAGCTAGTAAGTGTCTGAGGCTGGATTTGAGTCTTCCTGACTTCAGGCCTAGCACTCTATCCATATAGAAGCATAGTAGGCATTTTTGAAAACATGAAAGGTATGTGATCAAGAATTGTACACTGAAGAGGTTCCCCATTAATTAGGAAACGGTTGAACAAGTTATGGTATATAGATGTGATGAAATACTATTGTGCTGTAAGAAATGGCAAAGAGGATGATTTCGGAAAAACCTAGGAAGACTTAGATGACCTGATACAAAGTGGAGGGAGTAGAATCAGGAGATCAATTTATATTATGACATTATTGTAAAGACAAACAACTTTTAGAACTGATTAATTTGGTGACCAAACATGATTGCAGAGGACTCGTGATGAAACATGCTACATATTCCTCACAAAGGGCATATTGGGACGTGTTATTTTCCGATGGGGCCAATAGGGGGGATCAGTTTTGTCTGACTATTCCTATTTGTAATAAGAGTTCTGTTTTTCTTTCTTTCACCGTTGAGGACAGGGACAAAAGGCCAGGGAGAGAGAAGGCAGATTTTTGTTGATTTTAAAAAACAGTTAAAAACAAAGACAAATAAAAATAGATTTTATGTAAACACATAAAAGGGGGCTAACTTTAAAACTATAAACAAATACTTTTCTAGTTTCTTAATTAAATTTTATTTTTTCAATTAACAGACAATGTTCAAACCGATGAATTTTTTTAAATTCAATTTTATTTATTTTTCAGCTTCAGATTCTCTCCCTCCCACTTCCTCCTTCCCTCTATTGAGAAAGCAACAAAAATAAAACCACTACAAACATGTGTAGTCACACAAAACAAATTTATTGGCCATGTCCCCTCCAAAAATGCTTCAATTTTCTTTCATCTCTCTATCTGGAGGTGAACAGTATGCTAGACTAATACATTTTTAAAATTTCCAATCCCAGTCTTCATAAGCAGGGCATTTATGGCTAGAACCAGGGTGCAGCATTTGTAGTAATAATAACAACAATAATAAAAATAATAGAAACAATAATAGCTAGCATTATATATATATATATATATATATATATGTCTATAGTTTGCAGATCAAATGTTATCTCATTTGATCCTCACAACACCCCTGTGAAGGAGGTGCCATTATTATCCACATTTTACAGATGAGGAAACTGAGGCATAGAGTGGTTAAGTAACTTGGCCAGGGTCATACAGTCAAAGTAAGTGCCCAAGATGGGACTTGTACTTGGATCTTCCTGAATCAGTCTGTCCCTACTTCAAGGCAGAGTTGGAAAAGGACTTGGAAATCCCCTGGTCACCAAGTCAACAAGCATTTATTAAGCACCCATCACCATGTGCCAGGCACCAAGTGTTATGTGCTAAGTGCTGAGGATAAAAGAAAGGTAAAGAACAGTCCCTGGCCTCTAGGAGCTCACACGCTCAACAGAGAAGTCCCTTTGAGGTCAAGTGACTTGATTAAGATTACACAGGCTTTGAGCCCCCAGCTCGGTTCTCTTGCTGTCATGGAACCTTGCCTCCTCTAGCTTGGCAAATGTTCTGAGCACCTGGACTGGAGCCAGACTTCAGCAGTGCAGATAAGGGGTCCCAACAGCTTTACTAAATGCACTTACATTTCAGACTGAGATGACGGACCTGAGGCACTTTCCACTCTGGTCACCATATTGGATGTTTTACTTGTTTTCTTTTATCACAGGAAGGTTCCGTGAATGGGAAGAAAGAGACCAAGTGTGGGCGCAATGACTATGATGTGAAGATAAAAAAAATCATAAAAATGCCGAAAATGTCCTTTTAGATAAAGGTGAACAGCCTTGCCTTAGGATACTCAGGGAAATGCTTATTGAGATTAGCTGAAACATTAGATGAAGAGACCTAAGAAAACTCATTTCAGGGACTTGTCAAAAGGGTATAATTTAGGTTCCTGAGAGACCCAGACTCCCAAATAATAACCAAAATCTTGCTTTGCATTTATTTTGGTGGTTCAATGACTTAATATTATTATTTGTTATGATTATCATCTTAAAGGTCTGCAGTAGGTGTTATTGTTAGTAGAAAATGTATAGTGCAATTAAGTTAAGGAAGGCTGGCTGGTTGGTTGTAATCTTTTATCAAGATGAATGATACCCTAAGGGTTTGGTAGGTTTATGGTATCTTTTAGAGACTAAACTCTTAATTATGTTAGTAACACATTATTAAACCTGAATGATTCAATTTCATTAAAAACAGAGCTTTTGACACTTACTGTGTGACCCTGGACTAGTCATTTAACCTTTGCCTCAGTTTCCTCACATAAAATGGGGATAATAATACCTACCTCCCAGGATTGCTATGAGGATAAAAGATAATGAGAAAATATTTATAAAGTATTTTATAAATCTTAAAGTGTTATGTAAATGCTACTTATTATTATTATTATTACTCAGCTCAGTTTCATTTCAAAGACCTACATCAGTGAAGATATTAAAATCATTGTTTTTAGATAAATAAATAAATGTATTTTTTCAATTTAGCTTCTACAGGGACTTGTTGACGTTCGAATTCCACATAACGATTTCTACCGGAAGTGTAAGTAACACTGCTCTCGTTAAAGTTGAAGTCATGGGTTGTTGGCTCTTGTTTTGCTAAGTGTCTGATGTTGGTTGGAAATCTTTTTGTTGGACCACTGTGCAAAAATGACCCTGTAATGCTGCCTTAGCATCTCCCGAAATAAACGACTCTTGCCGTCCAAAAGCATGTTATTTTGTTTTTCCTTTTCTGGGAAGTGTTTTTGGAAATCGTAAGTGAAAAGTCAAGATACTCACTCCAAGAAAACATGGAGAAGATCCAAGTCCCAACACAGATCATCTGGGGGAAGCAAGATCAGGTACATCTTCCTATGTGTCAATGTTTGAGTCAGGTTGACGTCATTTCTATTAATTTCATTGAGGGAAATATTCTTTAGGCATGGGTGGTTATTTATTGTAAAATCATCCCTCATTTTTATTTATTGTGGGGCAGAAGCAGAATGGCCCCATGCCATAATTCAAAATTTGTATGTAGAGTAGATATGGGAGATGGAAATATGATGTTCTTCCCCTCCCTACCCAGCCATCTCTTTGCTCTTTTGCTGGAAGTTTTTTTAAGGGTCTTTTACTTAAGATATTCACAACATACATCTTAAGAGGAAGGAAATAGGGCAAAGTAGAGGTAGTCAGGTGGAGAGAGAGAGATAGGTCAGGAGTCAGGAAGAGCTGAATTCAAATCCCCCCTCAGACACATACTAGCTGTGTGAGTTTGCCAAGTGCCTTAACTTCTGTTTGTCTCAGTTTCCTCAGCTATAAAATGAGGATAATTAATAGCACCTATCTGTCTGGTTTTCTGTGATATCTAATGAGATACTATTTGTAAAGCTTTTAGCACAATGCCTGGCACATAGTAGGTGTCATGTTATCAGTAGTAGTAGGACTAGTGCCTAAGAGAACTTGAAAAACCTTAGCAATCTCAGGTAAACAGTTTATTGGACCTTGGATCATTTGAATATTATCGAAGAAGAGATGATTCATGAGAGAATGTCTTTGATTGGGTCAGTTTCAGATGAGCATTGTCATGGAAATTATCAGTGTAATATCTGTGATAGATCATGTAATACACTGTTAAGAAAATCACAGAATCAAAGAGATGAACAAGACCTCCCTTCCCATCTACTTCTGAGTAAGAATCTCTTCCATATCATGATATATCCGCATCTAGTCCAGTGCCTGGCACGTAATTAACTTTTAAAAATATTTGCTGGATTGAATGGAATATCAAGAGGTCATCCAGCCTTTGTTTGAAGACCTCTACTGGAAAGGGAGTCATCACCTCCCAGGCAGACCCATTCCGTTTTTATCGATGATTTTATGATCAGTGTTTTTGTACTGAGGCCTGCTAAAAATGTGTATTCTTTAATAGCTCAGTCAAATTTATACTGTCTCATAATTCATCCAGATTCAGAGTTTCCTTTTTTATTTATCTTTCGGATTTATCTAGCACTGAGAAAGGAATATGAAGCTTTCTACTATTATTATGTTACCATCAGTATCTTTTTTGCAATTCTCCTAACTTTTCTCTTACTAACTCAGCTGCTTTCTTATCTGTTGCACATAAATTTAATTTTTTGTTGTTGTCTATAACACCTTAAGCATAATATAATTTTCCTGTCTTTCTTGACTTGATCAATTTCTACTTTGATCAGTTACTTGATTAGTTTTGTCTTATCTGAGATCATGATTTGTTGCATATCCTTTTTTTTTTTTTTTTTAGTCCCCTGAATTATAATAGATTTTTTTGGTAGCATTTCATTTTTCTGTTCCACTCTTGAATAACTTTAATGATTGTTCCTAATATCGAAACCAAATTTGTCTCTTTACAACTCTTGAATCTGGCACCATGTTCTGCCCTGTGAGACCAAGCAGAACGAGTCTGAAGTCTCTTCCAAGGGACAGCCCTTCTTGCCTTGAAGACAGCTATTGTGTCCTCTTCCCCATCCCCCAAAATCTTATCTTCTCTGGGCTAAACATACCAGTTCCTTCAACTGGTACTCATATGCCTTGATCCAGTCCTTTCATGATTGTGATTACCCTCCTCCAGAATTGGACACAACATTCCAGATGTGGTCACATACAACAGGACCATCATCTGCCTAGTCCTGAACATTAGGCAATGTTTCTCTAATTACTTCTGCCTTGTATTTTTCATTCTCTCTGATATTAAAGCCATAAAACCAGGTGTTTTCTCTCCAGTGTCTTGGCTCAGGCACTTGACATTGCATTCTTTTTAGAGCAGCTTCTGCTGGGGCTAAAAATCATGCTATTCTAATGATTTATATTTCATTGGTACAGTAGAAAGAGTGCTAACTGTGGAGTCAGAGGACCCGAGTTCAAATCCTACTCCTTTTATTTATAACCTGGAGGACATTGAGCAAACCATTTTAACTCTCTGTGCCTCAGTTTCCTCGCCTGTAAAATGAGCAAGCTGGACTAGATGACTGACCTCTGAAGTTACTTCTAGCTCTAAATCTGAGATCTGTTAAGGATCTTAGGTTGAAGGTGGGATTGTTTTTGCCTTCTGAGATATAGACAAAGGCTGTCTTATCTGGAATGAGGGCAGGACCAATGAGCTTGAGAGAGTAGAAGTAATCTTTAATCCAGTTCAGAAAAAGAACTGTTTGCACAGTGGATAGAGCACCGGCCCTGAAGTCAGGAGGACCTGAGTTCGAATCTGGCCTCAGACCAAACACTTGACACTTAGTAGCTGTGCGACTAAGTAGCTGGGCAAGTCACTTAACCCCAGTTGCCAAAAAAAAAAAAAAGAAAGAAAGAAAAGAAAAGGAATGTTTGTGACAAAAATCAAGTAGAAGGCGATTAGTAGCAAGAGAAACCTCAAGAAGAAGGAAGACAACTCTTCTGTTCATTGGCTTTGGGGTTAGAGATCCAGGGTTCAAATCCTACTTACCTTGGTGGTTTGACTAAGCAAGTCACTTCAGTTCTCTTTACCTCCATTTCCTTATTTGGGGAATAAGGGGTGTTGAACTGGATGACCTTTGTGGTCCTTTCCACCTCTACATCTGGGATCCCATTTCAAAACCTGCTGTCAGGGGAAGTTTGCTCTTCGGTCTTTTCTGGGTTGTTTTTTTTGTTTGTTTTTATTATTTCACTAGTATTGGAAACTGTTGATTTAAGAAGCAATGAGATCTGCTCTGAATGGTGTGGTATTCCTCAAACCTGTGATTGATATCTTTGGTGTAAGGTGGTTCCGGTGAGGAAACTCCGTCTATCAATGCAGATCAGTATCTTCCCTATAATTTATATTATGAGAAAGTTGTTTAGAGCCCTGAGAAGTTAAATGATTTTTCCCAGGTGAGGCAGCCAGTAGATTGTCAGAGGGAGGACTTGAATCCAGGTCTTATGACTCTTAGACTAGTGAGAATGTAATGAGATCTCCCCATAATCCTGAGTTCTTTCTCTGCTCAGGTCCTGGATGTGTCGGGAGCCGACTTGTTGGCCAAGGGAATCTCCAACTGTCAGGTGGAACTTTTGGAAAACTGTGGTCACTCTGTGGTGATGGAGCGGCCCCGAAAGACGGCCAAGCTCATTGTGGAGTTCTTATCTTCCCTGTACAGTGCAGCCAACAACAAGAAGCAGGACTGAGCTTTCTTTGGGATCCAGCCCCTCCTTAGGATCTGCTCCAGTTTCAGAAATCCGACCCTCTGTTCACTTCTCAGGGATCCTGTACCCAGCACGCAGGTGAAGTGCCAAAGTCCCTGTGGAAACCAGAATCATGATCTCTTTCTAAATTGTTAGCACTATGGCGCTCTGCTTCCATAAGGGACCAGAGACCGTCTAATTTTTTTTTTTCAAAGTCACAAATCAGGTGGAATAAAAGAAATCGAGCCATGAAATAGACAGAGGTCTTTATGTTCATCCAGGTGATGATGCAGGGACAGTTTTGTGACAGCTGACCCATAGTAGACTGTAACCTTCAAGTCCATATCAAGCCCAAGAGACCTTCCTTCCTGACTGAGACATTACGGTATTTCTGTTAGAACCTTTCACCTTGCATGATAACCCGCTGTGGTAGGAGACCTTCTCAGTGAAACACTTACTCTTGCTTGTATCTAATTTATCGAAGCTGTATGTGGAGACTTAGACACGAGAGCCATTTATGAGCTGAAGCCCCGGGACTTTCTAACCTAAAATGTTTACAATGGCTGGAGAGGAGAGAGAGGTAGTAAGCTTGGGATCAGCTCTAACGGTGCTTGTCTTGGCGGTGGGCACAGGTCAGCAGCTGAGAACAGACGGGTTGGAGGGTAATGAAAAACCGGTTGCCAGACATGTCCCTGGAATCATTCATTTTTAAAGAATTGGGGCCTAATCAGCAAACTAAGCAATAACACTCTAGGTGATGATGTGAATGATCAAATTAAGGTTCCATCTTACACAAACAAGTGACTTGCTTCCTTCCTATTAACCCATGCTGCTGAAAATCCTTGGATGTCAATAATGCATTTATATTACTGAATTCTATGAATTCTCTGCACAGTCATGGAATTGATGACAAGGGTAACAGCCATAAGATTTTCCTGAAATGACATAAAGTAAATCTGAATTCAATCAGGACCACATAGGTGATTCTATTTTCAAACTCCTAAGTGAGCTCATGTGTTTGTTAAATTGGGGGCAATGAGTATGTTTATAGAAAAGGTGGGTGGCCAGTCTGGGTGATTTCTAAGTCTTATTTTGTATCTTGTTTGTAATTTGTAGCTGACTGATATGATCTGTCTGGAGTAAAGAACAAGCCTGGTCAAACTGTTCCTTGTGGCCTCTTCTGTTGTCTGTAAATGCTAATTCTGACCTGTCTTTCCATGTCTCATTAATACATTGAAGACTGATGATATTGGAGGTACGGGAGCTCCCCTTCACTGCTACAGAGCACCACTTGGTCTCTACACTGAGTTTTAGACAGATGCCTGAGGCCCGGGGTGGGAGGGTGGGGGTGAGAAATGACTGGCCTATGGTCACACAGCATGTAAGCACCAGAGGCAGGGGGAGGCTTCATGGGACGGTGGAGAGAGAGCACAGGCTTTGGAGTGAGAGGCCCTGGGTTCAAATCCCAATTCTTCCACTTTCCACCTCTGGGGCTCAATTTTCCCATTCACAAAATTAGAGGTCTGGACCAGATGACGTCCAAGATCCCTTTTAGCTCTCAATTTATCTAGGACCTCATGATTCCTGATTCTGGGTCCCTTGTTCAATCACTAGACTGTCTTCCTCGATCTCACTCCCAGCAAATCTCTCAGGAGTGCATCTTCTGTAGGTTGCTTTGAAATAGGTAAAACCTTGGTGTTTTTGCTTCAGCTTAAACTTCTGCCCCAAGTGTTCTTGGAATTAGTCTCCCATCTTTTTACCCTTTGTTTACTTGATCACATATGGCTGGGGCTCAGCCCACACTGGCTCTTTTGAGGTCAAGCCCTGACCCTTCCCTTTGGAGATCACTGGTTCAGCCCTCCCTCACTTCAATCTAATTCACCTTCGAGTCAAGACGCGTCCTCCTGATGTCACCGGTCTTCTCGAGAAAGGGGAAAAAGGAAGGATGAGCTACAATGCAGACCAAGCCCTCTATTTTACAGATAAGGAAGCAAGGTCACACCAGGTGTTAAGAGGCAGAATTCACACTGAGGTTCTCTTGACTCTAAATCTGCCTCTTTTTCCCCGCTGGATAGGGCTTTCTGTTTCCTTAATGCTCATTAGCGTTAGAGAAAACAGATCAGAGAAACGACAAGAGACGCAGATCTTTCGCTTGGCCTGTTGCTCCATGCAGAGCCCTTGGCTGACCCAGCTCAGTCTTCCCCAGGCCATGATGAAATCTTCTTCTAAAACATTACACAGCAAAAGCTTGGCCGAGGACAAGGGTCATTCGTGGTTGTCTTGGACTCTGACCCTCAGGGATCTTAGATCCAGTGCTGAGTCATCTAGTCAACATCCCCCTCCCCCATACGGGAGGAAGCAGGGGGTTGGGGGAGTTGTCCAAGCTCACACAAGTAATAAGTGTCAGGGACAGAATTTGACCGTGGGTCTTTTGATTCCAGAACCCAGTATTCCTTCTGCTAGATCACACTCCCAGCCATTCTGGGCCTCTCGATTTCCAAGGAGCCTCTTTCCTCCAGTTCTAACAACCAGGTCAAGTGTGCTGAATCATATTCTCCGTGTGATAAGGGCTGTCCACAGGCTGGCTTGTCCTCACGCTTGAGGCTAATCATTTTAGACCAGACTCATCAAGCCCTGGCCTGGGCAATACTCCTGAGTGTGGCTCAAACCAGATTAAAATGTAATTGATAAATATTTAACAAAATAAATAAAAATACAAGAGAATATAGTTAATGTTAATATGTGGTTTTCTAAGTCAATGTGCAGTCTGTAGAGATACTTATGTATGGTTTAATGGCCTGATTCTGTTTGGGTTTGATACCACAGCGTTGGACTTTAAGCTCCAAGAAAAGTCTTGTTGGTTTAGCTTGGTCTGTCCAATGCACAGATATTGTTTTAAAACATTTTAAAACATTATCATTAATCTAAATACATAATCATTATTTAAAACATTAGCTTTAGCACAGCACGGTGTAGTGGTAGCAAAGACCACAGAACCCTTCCTTGTATCATTTAAATAAGAACAGATAAGTAAAAGCAACTAGGTCTGACAGTACATATACCTTTCTCTCCCCCAAGTCCTCCACCTCTTTACTGGGAGACGGGAAACAGTTCTGCCATCTGATCTCTAGGACCAAGATTGCGATTCATCCGAGTTCCGCCTTCTTTCATTATATTTGTTCACATTATTGCTTTCATTGTGGATATCGTTCTGTCAATCAGTTAATCAACAAGCATTTATTAATATGCCAGGCACTGTGCTAAGCATTGGGATACAAAGAAAGGCAAAAGCAGTTCCTGCCCTCAAGAAGCTTATACTCTAATTGGGGAAGATGACACATACATGGTTTTTCATCCTTTGCTCTTGCCTCAGTTCACTCATATCTTCCCACATCGGCTTTCCAACAGGTTAGCCTTCTGTAAGTTTGCAAGGTTTGACAGAATTTTCTCTGGGACTCTTCACACCTGGGGAAGCTGGCAATCACAGTCCTATACACACCTCCACATCCTCCTGGGTATATCCTACAAATCCGAAACCTTGTTAGTGTAGGGACTGTTAACATCCAGATTGAGTTAAAAATCTGTCATCGTATCTTATCATTGCCCAAACTAAACCCATAATACAGCTAATTCAAGCACGGCTCTCTCAAGTCTTAAATGGTAAACAAATTCCAAGGGAATTTCCCTTCCAAGGGAAGGGAACAGCCTTCCACCCTGCTATGCTGTTCTTGTGATTAAAGACGTGAACAGAGTGGTTGGGAAACGCTTTAGGACAAGGCTCCGAGAAGGGCTTTCGAAGGTCTCCATTTACCTTCAATTCTGGCCCTACTGTGTCTAGGAAAGTGAGGCATAGACAGATCCCACCTTCATATCTCTGTGATTTCAAAAGCAGTTGGAAGTTGGGGGAGGGGGTGTGGAAGAGAGCAACTTACTAAGGCCCTTCTGAAACACATTGCGCTGGAGCCTGATGAAGCTTCATGGAAAGTGACAATTTTGGAGTTGGAAGGCATCTCGATGGCCAACTAGTAGTCCAAGACAGCCTTCAAAGGATCCCAGGGAAAAAGCAATTTCATAGCTTGATTGGTGGTGGATGGGATATTTCTTCCAATTCTTCTTGCCCTTATCTGAGTAGATTTAGAATGGAAGTTTCTTGCAGACACAGAGAATTCAGGGTTTTTTTTGTATTTCCCTTCATGTTAATGCCTTTCCTCTGCTGATCTCCAATTTGCCCTATGTATATTTTATTTGTACAGAGTTGTTGGCATGTTGCTTCCCCCATTGGACTATGTGCTCTGGGAGGGCAGGAACTGTCTTGTGCTTTTCTTTGAATCCCCAGTGTTTAACACAGTGCCTGGCACATAGTAGGTGCATAATAAATGTTTACTGATTGGCTGACAAATAAAGGAATGTATATATTTGCACAGAGAAGAATGAACTCATCTAGTGCAGAGGCTAACCAATAACCTTTTATTATTTTTGTGAACAGGGCAGAGAGTGTAAATAAAATCAGGGGGAAAATGCTATTTGAAGATGCAGCTGTAGGGAGAAGGAGTCATGTGGGGACAAGTTTGTGAGTAGTGATAGTGATACAAATAATGAAGGATGAAAAGACTGAAGACAAGCTTCTCTATCTGCAAACGTGCCTAGGCAGGTATGCCCTGTTATTGCATTTATCCTATTTTTCCACCTTCCATTCACTGCCAGTCTTCTGCAAGCAGTTACCTACACCTATGGTCTCCATTTTCCTACAAACCACTATTGCCTGAACTGCAATATGGTGCACTCTTGAAATCACCAGTGGCCTTACTGCTAAACACTAGCCTGTAAGCTCTATGAGGGCAGGAGAAAGTGCTTGGAATTGGACCTGTGATGTCACTGGTGTAGGGAAACTCTCAAGTGAGAAAACTCCAACGTCTAATGCAGGGCACCACCTTCTCTGCATAATTACCTACAGCATTCAGAGCTTCAGAGACTTGCCCGGGATCACAGTCAGTATGTGTCAGAGGTGGTCCTTGAAGACGAGTTCTTAGCTTTGAAACCAACTGTCCACTGTACCACCATTGTCTCTCTATCCACCCACACAAATGCATCTCAGATAAAGATGTTGCCGAGGGTGCAAACATTAAGAGTTACCGTCTTGCCTTCCCCTGAAGTAGCCATCCTATCCCCAATTTCCCTGTCCCCTATACCCGATATAGTGATTCTACTGCTCACCTGCCCTGATTATAGAAATTTGCTATAAAAGGAAAAGGAGGGACATAGCTCTAACAATGTCAAGACACGTCTCCTCAAGGGCACAGTCTGACCACCATAACAAGGGAAAAACTCCCTTAGCTCTGTTTGATTCCAGGCATGAGTCGTATCTGACAGTCAATTGTGTAGAAACTGGGTATCAAAAGCCAGGCTCAGGATTAACCAGGTGAGGAAATTTCCTATTCAGAAAGGAAATAACACAATGGAAAAACTGAGGATGCATGGAAGGTCGGTCTCCAAAACTTCTCCCAGGCACAGTTCTCAGGCTGCAGCACATGTCATTTTCTGTGATTGGCTTCATGACAATTCAGAAAACCATCCCTGTTATCAAAACTCAAAACAATAGTAAATTATGGTCCCAACAGCTTTTACCTCAAATAGCAAATTTTCATTAATCACAACTTAAGGTTTGAATATTATTTATTTTCTCATATTTCCATAACAGTTACATTTCATTTATCCTTTGCTTTTAAATTAAAGCTAACCACATTCTGGTTTCAGAATACAGCAAATTCCTGATAGTTGACTTATTTTAATATATTGAAGTTACATCTTTAAACCACCCTATACATTTTTATAATTTTTATAAGTGTTAGGTAAAAATTTTCAAATGAAAGCTCACTCTTTATCACAGTAAATGTACTATTATTATCTGCTTTAAAACAAAATATGTCCCATTAAATATTTAATAGTTTTCAAATATTTATCAACATTCTTTTAAAAGTTTAATTCGTAATCTAACAGCATCCAGATTTTTTTTAAAAGGTGTTTTTCTAACAGCATTTCTGATACAATGGTCTCTCAAAATTCACAATATAAAAGAATTTAGAAATACAATAACAACATTTACATTATCATATATTTAAAACATGGAACAAAACACATTACCAGTCAGATAACATCAATTCATTCA